GGGAGGCACCGCCGCCAGTGAGGTGGAGCCGCCTGAGGGGCCGCGGCCTCCTGAGGGGCGAGGGGGCTGCCCGGGCTCGGGTCTGGCCGACTTAACGCTTCTAAAATACCAGATTGATGTGAGTTCGGTTGGCTCCGTGAAACTTCGCCTTTTGGTAGGGCCGTGCTTACTGCTAGGGAAGCCGTTGGGTGTATTTTAGGCTCGCCTGGTGTTGCTGGGGGACGCGGCATAGGTTTATGTAATGTGTAGTTCAAACTAGGGAAAAACTGCTTTTATGATAGCTAATAAAGCTAACCCCCTCTCCTCAGACATTAACTCTATTTTATAGGCATGTGAAATATTATTTATGAAAGGTCAGAACAGGGTAGAAAGTGTTTCAGTTGAAATTGCAGAGTAAATGAGGATGTTCTTTAAATAGACTGGTTTGATCTTGTAAGAAAGCTTTCACATTGATAAAAATGCCTTGTCAATCAACATTTGGGTTTTTTTCTTAACATTCCTCTTAAACTCTTGCATTGAGCAGCAGTTTAATGTTCGAGGTGGCTCTGCTGGACACGAGAGGTGCTGGGGAAGCCGTGTTGTTGCACAGGCTGGGTTAGTGTAATGCTTGAGTAAAGGGAGTCTTAGTGGTGAGAAGTGTCCAGAGTTAACGGGTTTGGGGGATTTTTGATGTTCAGCTTCTGTTAGGACACAGCTCATGTAGACACGGTGTAACAGAAGACTTTTAAGATCTCTGGTGGTGCAAAAGGGCTGTTACCCTTCCCCATAAGCTAAGGGTTTTTCTATGTATTTCTGAATGTAGTTGCAGAGGTAAAGCGTGCGTGGTTTTTGGGAAGACAAAGTTATCAGGCATTAGAACTCCAGCACTCACTGTATTTCTTGGCGTATTGGTAGTGGATCAGTTTTCAGTATCTTTTTTTAGAGGTTATAAGCAGGGGAGCAGCCAGGAAAGAGAGGTGGTTTTGTGCTGTCTCAACTCGAGAAACTCGACAGTAACAGCAGACGCCTATGTTTGAGTTACTAATGGGGGGGAATAACGAAGTTCAAAGAACCTTAATAGAAAACACAGCACCACATTTCCTACAGACTGTTGAAGCATCGATGATCAAGTCTCTTTTATCAGTAAGCCTAATGCACATCCTTAGGTGTCCAAGATAAATTTTTGCCTGCAAGAAATAAAGGAGAAAGACTGATTGCTGCTTTTTTTTTTTTTAAATATCAACAGACTGTTTTGGGTTGGAAGGGACCTTCAAGATCATCTAGTTCCAACCCCCCTGCCATGGACAGGGACACGTTTTAATGCAGGAATCTGAGTTTTATTATTTTTTCCGCTTGAGTTTAGAATTTGGGCAACACGTTAATAAGGTTATAAACTAGATCCTCCCATGTCAGCACAATATTGTAGCCTTTGTATCACTGCATTTTTCAATTCCCACACCCCCCTTCGCTCCTGTCCACTCCCCCTCCCATCTTGATGGCTTTGAATAAAGGCTTTTGTTCCCCAGCAGCTTTACTCCTGGTCTTCTTTTCTACCTTCCCCCGTAGTGCTATATTGTATCTGGGTTCATATCTCTGGCTGTGGCAGTCGCCTTCGAGGGTGCTGTCAGGGCTGTCCCCTGGACCAGCTGTGAGACTGCAAGGAGGGGGGCTGTATGAAAGCTGCAGCTGGTGCTCACCACTTCCACCCCTCTCTTCTCTCCTTCTGCATCTCTTCTTCCCCAGAGTAATGCAGACTGCTTGCTGTTACCTAATTTTCCATTCCTGGGGTTGGGCAAGTTTTAATATCAACCAGTGGTAGACTTCAAAAAAATCTGGAACTGGAAGAGAGCAGGCTGGGGAAAGGGACATTTTACCAAGCACTTTTTTGTAGTCTATTGAGTAGTAGCTTCATCAGAAAACTTAGGTTTTGGAAAAAATGTTGGGCTAAAGTATGAGGAGGAAAAGCTTTTGTTCATGTTGATTGATGTTTTATCATATCTGAAAAAAGTATTCGCTTTCCCTGAATTTTGGTTCATTTACCATTATGTAGCTAATTGAACAAAGAACTTCTAACTTTGTTTTTCTGCTCCCCGATACAGGTCTCGATCGAGTATAGCATCGTGTACAAGTGTGAGCACCCAAACTGCTTCTGACGATCAGGTTGTCAAATTCTGGGATGAACTCAGTTTAGTTGGCTTACCGGATGACATTGATCTTCAAGCCTTATTTGAGCCAACAGGTAAGATACATGGCTATCCTCCTTTTTGTCCTGGCCAGTAGTAGCACAGTAGCTACAGTGACAGTCGGTAAAGTTTTTCAGCTGTTGGTTTTCTGTGCTCTGGTGTTTTTCAAGTGTTTGATGATGCTTTCATGGCTTTTGCCAATGTTAGGTGGTGTTTTTGTATAGTCTTGTCTTCAAGGACTAGAAAGAATCATTGTCAGTGTTACATGGGAAGATATTTGTGCTGAACTAGTGTTCAGGTGGCAATATATTCAGTATCATGATTCTCTTTTGGGAAGAAAAAGAGAAAGAAATGTAATGCAATTTAATATAGTTCTTAAAAGTCACAACCCTGTAGTTTTACCTAATCTTCAACTACTAATGCCGAGTTGTCGGAAATAATGAAACAAAACTTGCAAGAGCGGTATTGCTAGAACAGTAGAGGCACAACACACTTAAATGTTTCCAGTATCTGCAGGTTTTCTATCAGAAAACTGTCTAGTTTATTATCTGCTCTTTCATTTTAATGGAACTTCTCTTTTTATTCAGTTCTGAATTACTTTTTCAGAAAAGTCCAGACGCTTTGTTGCCAGTAGTGCAGTCATGTATTTTGCCTCAAAAACGGAAATGTATTTGTGCAATAATATAAGTATTACTATTTCATGAGTGTGGAAACTCATTTAAAAGTCTAATTAAAAACAAAAAATGTCATTTGACTATTTAAGTAGTTATACCACAGTGTGTGTGTATGGGTGAGGGGGTGTTAATCAGTCTAATTTTTTAAAGTTGTTATTTGTAGGGAATTCTCCCTAATCCCTTACAGAGATATTTGGGGGAGATTTTTTGATGCTCTATGATTAAGTTGGCCAAATACCTAATTTCAACAACTAATGTAAAGCATCATTTCTAATCTAGTATAAAGCTGTTCCAGTTTCCTTGGAAGTATGCATCATTTACATTATTTTCCCAGAATCGATTCAGAAACTTTTAAAGAGCTACTTGTTGAATTCTGCAAGTTTGAGACTTCTTCCTATTATCTAGATAAACATTTCTAATTATATCTCTATAGTGTGTTTGTTGTACTGATACAGTTTTCTAAGTCCTTTATGTGATGTTTCTGTTCATGGTGTATTTTGAGCTTTTAAAAGTTCTGTATAGAATTCTAAAACCTCATGTGACCTCTAGTGATGGTGACTCGACCACTTCCCTGGGCAGCCTGTTCCAGTGCTTGACAGCCCTTTTGGTGAAGATATTTTTCCAATAACGAATTTAAACCTCCTCTGGTGCAACCTGAGGCTGTTTCCTCTCGTCCTATCATGTGTTACCTGGGGAAAGATACACAGACAAATGTTGCCTACAGTGAAATAGAAGATCACATGTAACTCTGTGGGTGTGTCTCACCCAAACATTCTATACAGAATCATAAAGTCATAGAATCACCGCTGTTGGGATTGCTTTATCAGGCATCTGAAAATTAGAGACGCATACACAGAATGTGCTGATACAAAGGGAAGGCATGCTATGTGTAAAAGAAAATTGCAGCATATTTAGTGTCTGATAACTGCAGTGTCTTCAGTGCATGATAGTAAGGGCATTGAACATTGCTATAAGAAAAACAGGAGGAAGAGAGACCGTTGATTTTATCTGGCGAGTATTTACTACTAGAACTAAGTCTCGTGCTTAGAGGAAGTGCTTGACAGAGTTGTACAACCAAAACTCCTTTTCTTTCACAATGCATTAGGTCATTGCTGGGCTCATCACCGCTGTGCGGAGTGGTCATTGGGAGCCTGCCAGACTGAAGAGCAGCTATCGGTGAACGTGGACAAAGCTGTTGTCTCAGGGAGCACAGAAGTGAGTAAAGAGACTTGAATGCTCAAGGCAGTTAGAGAATAGGGGTGGAGTTGGAAGATTTCTTTCGACAGGCCTTCATGATGAAATCTACTGTTGCAATTTATTAAAATGCTTATGGAATTGCATGAAGTGTATTGTTAATTCATTCTGAGTTAACTAGAATGTAGGAATTAGCTGACTGACCCAAAAAAAAATACGGACAAAAGAAGAGTTGAGTTCAAATTAGCAAATGCTGTGCTAGGTAGAGGTATTTTGTGCTAGGTATTTTGCCAGTTTGTATTCTGAAATTATATTATCATATTTTTGCTGTTTCCCCATGATCATGCTTGGGCTTATATTTTCCTTGATTCCTCATGTGTTTTATGCATTACATTACTTAAAAAACAATATAGAGGCTACCAATAAATGTTCTCCAGTGCGTGGACTAAAAAGCTGCTTTCCATCAGTCCTTCAATGCCAGCCATAATACAGTTTTCCTTGTGCCTTCTACGCTTTCCTTGCACCTTGTACTTATATTGAATAAATGCTTTGCTTTGGATAATTTGTTTTCTGGCTATCTGCTTTCAAAATAGAAGGTTATTCAGAATATATGAACCTGACAGTGTTAAGTTCTAGATGAGCTTGAAGATGTTAGAACATTTGTATGTATGTGTCTGTGTATAAAAATTGGAGAAAGAATGGAAAGAACAGCCAAAATTCATTACTATTTCTTTTTTTTAAAAAAAATTTCATTGCTGAAAAGTTTTGTCCCCTGGTTTTCTGGCTGGTGCTGGTGGCTGATAGTAATTTTGTGATCAGTTCATTCCCATCTGTAGTAATTTTGCCATAACATTCTGTTTTCTAACAAAAATCCATGCTGCAGTGTTCAAGTGTGTGTTTTGCTTTGGTGAAATTCGTCTTGTTTCTGTTATTTCACTTCCATTTCTCTCTGTATGATACTTTGCTCCTCCCTTGTGCCTCGGGGTGGTGGTGCCTCACCTTTATGTTGTCAGTACGTTTTAAGTTTAAGTAGATGTTCTAATGCAAATATTTAAATAAGAATTCTTGAAGAATGCTGCATCTCTCTGGTGTGATAGTTGCCATTTAGCCCTGTCTTGGTGGGTGCTGCTTTGTAGCTTCTCTACTAATCTTCTAAAATTCTGCAAATAATTATTAGATACCCATTGCATATGTTTCAGTGCAATGCAGAGAAATGAGAGAAATTTGAACTGAGTGCCGTTTTGAGTATTTTCATTCCAGCCTTTGCAGGAACTGTTGAGAAACTTTTTTTACTGTAATACAGCAGTCAACCAGCAAAGAATGATGCTGATTTGGTTATTCTCTTTTATCCTTCTTGTGACATCCACAGGGAGAGCAGACATCTTTATCCCACGATCACACAAGGGAATTTTTGGCTTTTAGTTTTTGGGGGTTGATTTTTTTTGTTTTGTTTTTCAAGAAGTAAGGATTAAACTCTTCTGTAGCTCTCTGTTCCTGACCATGGAGCAGCAATGTGGGGCCTGCTGGAAGAGTTTGCCTGGAACTGGCTTGGAGCCCAAGTATCCTGGTTTTGCTTGTGTTCAGGCTGTAGTAATTGATAGTGATTTTTCTTGCTGCTTTTTAACCTGTCACTAAGCTAAACAAGGCCCAAAAAAGTAGGTGGTGCTGGTTATCCTATGTGATAGTGGAAAAAGTGAAGGGAAGAAGTTTTCTTTGCCTTAAGTATTTTATAAAATTTTTGAATGAAAGGTATAGCAAATAGATTAATGTATGTTTTAGCATTTACAACTGTATGTACTTTCCTTTTGCTAAAATTTTGGGCTTCTTTCTAGTGTGATGTTACTGCATTTTAAAAGCAAATTTCTAGTCAAATGATCTAAATACTCTTGGCAATACAGATGCAAGTATGTGCTCAGGGCATACAGAAAAATAGTTTAAATAAAAACAAGCTGCATGCTATTTCCTCTACTTGCCACCAAATTTGCTTTGGGTTTTGTTGTTGTTTGGTTGGGGATTTCTGTCTTCTTGGAAGTCCCTCTGGCATGACATGAGTTTATGATGTGGTCTGTAGCCCTGACATTTTCCTTAGCTGGGAAAGTACGTTTTCTTTACCTTATGTTCTTACACAGATTAATTTTTGACATGTAACAAACTTTTTCATCATAGCATAGTCTGTTGGTTTATGTCTTTTAATTTGTGGAGAGCATTTTAGGGCTGTTCTTACCTTGAGGGTCTCTTTAATTTGTAAGTTACGTTCATGTTTCTCATTAGTTAGGCTGCCTATTGTTTGCAAATCTGTTTTAAGTGGATATGACAGTGTTTCTCATTACTCTGTTTACCAGTTGAGATGTCCATTTGGCTTCACTGAACTCATGATTGCATTAATAAAGCTTGTGTGGACATATTTCATTGACCTGTTCCAAAGTATGTCTGTTAATTCATTTTGGTTTTCTTCTTGGCCCGTGTTTGCTGAAGGCTGAATACAGTACTGCGGAGATCTCGGTATCTGTGCAAGTTTCACAGAATATCTTGCTTAACCTGTCTTTCTTCTCAGTTCTTTCTTTTGATTCACTCATTTCGAAGGCCTGGCAGAGACATCTGACCAGTTTGTTACATGTACTTGTGTCTAGACGTCGGTGGGTTCTCTTTTGTCTTTCTCTCCAAGTCTTGCGTTTTGCCTCTCTTTAATATTAATGAGTTCACGTACTTGTCTGTGTGATGTGTTTGAAATCTTATCTGTCATCTTGTTGCATAACAACTGCCAAAAGCTGGAATATACCGTTAAGTTTATGGTAGCTCAAGCCCTTATGGGTGGCACAAGTGACTAATTTTGGCTCATTGCTTGCCTTGCTTGTGTCGGCAGGCGAGAGTCATGGATTTTCTCAGAACCACTTTCTAAGTTTAAAAAGTCGTAAGGGAGAACTGGTCATCCAGGTGACAAGTGTGTCAGAGCTTTTCCCAAGATGACTTTTAAGAGTTTGCGTACTTGTCCCCGAAGTTTGTGTAGTAGGTAAGAGCCTGAGCACCCAGACAGGGCAGCTCCTTCCCCCACTGCTTTAATAGGCTTATGGGATTTTGGCGTAATGTTGTCTCAAGTTTTGAAAGAAGAGAACTTTTTGTGATGTAGACAGGAGGAGAGAAAACTTCCAGTGATTTGCTCAATCTAGACCTTAACTAAGTTTTCTTAT